ATATAATTATATGATTGGTTAAAAAATCTTTTGAAATTTAAAGAAAATTTTACTAAGCAAAGGTTTCTTTTGCTTCTAAATAAAGTTGTAAAGAAGGTTTTTCTGGTTTCTAATACTAGTTAGATTATCAAAATTGGCTTATCATAAATCACCAGATAAGGTACTCTCTTGATCGGTACCTCTATGATCTATACCGGGTATGTTTCAAGGTTATTGGATGTGGTATTTTGTAAGATACCTGAGTACAAATTAATAATGATCTATTTTTTTTTAGCTATTTATCATTTTAATATCTACAGCAATTCAGTATCAGTAATATGATTCAAGTATATATGTTCGAAGTGAGAATCATTTTTTACAGATCTTATATACCAGGAAAAAGACTATTGAATGGCTACAAAAAGCGAAAAATAATAATTTTCTACCAATAAGGCCATTCAAACTAATAAATCGGTTTTCATAACAAACTTTTTGAAAGTGATTGGCAACCTGGCTTTTAATTTTATTTTTAAAAATTATATATATAAAAAATATAGAAACCTACCCGGATAAAAATTTTTTTTAAAAGTTTTGTAAAATTTGACCTGGCTGGGTTATAAGAACTGATTTATTAAGTTTGTATGGCCTAATTAAAAAAAATAATAATAATAATAGGCCTGCAATTGTGCCTGCTGCTAATTGGAAGTGTACAATCACAGGTAATGGTACTTTAAATTAATTTTTTGTGCTTAAATAATTCATGGATCAAAGAATAGTTGTGAGAAACTTAAAATAGATAAATATTTGGTAATTCAAGTTTTATAATTAATCATGTCACTATTCAGTTTTTAGTACAATATTTATAATTTTAAGGTTAATTGCATATTCAGATATTAGATTTAAAAACCATATCTCACTGGTAAGTTTATTTAAACTTTGAAATTTGTGCTATTACAGATTATTCAATCTATTAATTCACAAAATTTTCTGTCACATGCTGATTATAATAATCTTCGAATTCTTCATTCTGAACCAAAAAATCTTGTTGGGTCAAGGAGTCTTGTACTAAGACATATGGTTGAGATGGAAAGCTTTGCTGAGACAAAAAATAGTGTTGATGCGAAAGGTCTTGGAGGTGAGAATGTTGTTAAGACAAGAAAGTTTGTTGAAACTGAAAGTGCTGTTGAAGTGGAAAATTTTGAAGTAGGAGGTGTTGTTGAAATGGAAGGTAATGTTGGGACAGAAGGTCTTGTTAGGACTAGAAATATTGCTGGGGCAGGAGGTTTTGTTAGAACAGGAGGTCTTGTTGGGACAGATCTTTTTGTAGTTCAAGGTCTTGTTGAAAAAAAATATTATTAAAGTCGAAAATTGTCAATTTAAAATTGTAAAAACAAATTTTTTACTATTATTAAAAATATATTTATTTATTTCATTATTTTTAATATGATCATAATTAAAAACTAAATCTTCTTCTGAACCATCAGTTGCGATTGAGATGCCACAACATTTAAAGAATGTTTAATTTGTTGGGTATCAATAGTATCCCATGCACGTTTAACTTATTTTGCAATAGTATTGTATGGAGAATGCTTAATTCAACTACTTTTAGTTAATTCTCTTACTTCTTGTGCAATCATTCATTGTACATAATTCTAATCTATTAAAAAAAAAAAAAAAATAATAAGCACCTTTGTTTTAAAAGATTTGTTGATTAATACATCGAGTGGTTGAATCTTTAATGTTAATCCCCTAGAGATAATTGCAATATTGGTTTTTTTTTTTTTTTTTTTTTAACGTCTACCTCTTGGGAGCTGGGATTTTTATTCAAGTATATATAGCAAGGAGTTCTCTAAGGAACCCTCTACATTAGAGAGTACATACTAGCCACACATACACTTTTAGTGTCTAATTTAAGTAGTCCGCCTGTACATCATACAGGTTCTACACTAGATGCCGTACCTGTAACC